CTAGATAGTAACATAGAAAAAACCAATCAGCGGAATGCCTCAGCGTAGAAAGATAAGATTTCCGATACCACTGACAATATTGAGGCCATTCAGTAAGAGCTGAACGCTGACATCTGCATGGAGAAAGGAGATATTCATTGCGCTTACAAGCCTTGCTCAAAACTTACATGGAGAAACCCACAGGTGAACGTTGAGAAAGAATTGGAAAGTCAGCAAAATATCTTCCTTGCAAACGTCGGAGTTGTACATTTAGTCATTAGTTCACTGCAACTATAAAGTCACCAAATGACCAGAAAAGTCAGCCGAGAGAGTGTTTTTTAAAGCTAAATTAGGTCTTTCGACCGTGGTGTTCGCTTGTTGCATTGCTGATCTGAAAGTTGAGAGTATCAAGCTATCTTAGACTAAGTAAAAGCAATCGAAATACCAGTGATGGATCCAAACAACTAGTCTTCTTGTCAAAATCTCACTTTCTAAGTCCCAGGCTATTTCGATGTCGGATGTTCAGTCGGTGAAACCCAGCTTTGCTTAGGTAACACAAGAGCATTTGTTCGATGGCCTTTGTTGAAGAGTGTGTGCATTTCCGAAAATACATAAGAAACTATTCGAAAACTATCTGGTTCTGATAATTGGATTGGAGACCGAGAATTGTCCATGGCCTATATTATCAGACTCATTTAAAGCATTTGCACTTCAAAAGACTACAAAATTCAGTGCATGGCAGCGAAGCATCGGTGTTAAACACTGATGTCATGCTGTCGATGATGATGATTATGATGATGATGATGGTGGTGATGATGAAAAAGTCGGTGTGTTCCTCACAATAGTACAATCGCTTTTTGTTTTGGTGCCAACAGACGGGATTCGGCGTTTATCCACGTTTTTGCTTGCCATACACCAAAAAAATGTCCCACCTACCTCCGTATGTATAAACAGCTTCGGAAATTGGTCTTCGTTTAACAGATCGGGAAGAATTACTGCGCGGGCACATCGCTCCACAAGTATACCCATTTGCTCACCAATTTAGCTTTAATGGGATACCCAAGGGAGTCTCTCTTGTATGATATTCTTGAAGCACAAAGCTGACAGAAACTTGGGGACTGCGCCCATTTGGTGATCCTTAAGAAGATCATAACCGGTCGTGAGTTGCAGAGGATATATCAGCAACCCCATGAGTAGTTTCATTTGAAAAAATCACACTCTTGAAAAGTAAGTTAATGACTGATCCCTGAACTCCACGTGTGTAATTTTTTATGGTCACAACTGTGGACGCGCTGATACTTAAGTTTACTCTTAAATTCCTCAGACGTTGATGCGAGGTAACTTGGAAGGTCTCAAGCGTTAATCCCCCGGAGCTGTTCCTGAATCTCGGTAGAATTGCGACCTACATAGCCTGTCCAAGATATACATCAGACCTTGCAGACCGGCAGTCGTTTCCGATGAGCAAGCACAATATTTTTCACACACATCCGGAAAATCCGCTCCTCAAGAACTCTATATACATGCCGAATATGTTGAATCTTCCGGTATCCAGTGCATTGGCGACCTACATAGCCTGCTCAAGATATACATCAGACCTTGCAGACCGGCAGTCGTTTCCGATGAGCAAGCACAATATTTTTCACACACATCCGGAAAATCCGCTCCTCAAGAACTCTATATACATGCCGAATATGTTGAATCTTCCGGTATCCAGTGCATTGGTCAATCGTCAGCTAATGACTGAACTATCTAGCATTCCAGAACTTCAGCATCTGTTGACACACCTACTAGCGTGCCAGGCGAATCCACGCAAATTCCTGCCATACAGTCAAACATCGCCAAATTGTAGCTACCGTTAGTTGAAAGTCGGCGTATACCGCCGAATTTTGCGCATTTGCATCCTCCAGAAGAGATCATTAACAGGAGCGATCACCGCCAAAATGCGGCACGGCTCATCTATCTTCTGAGTCCTCTTACAATGATGTCTTTCCCATGATTGCCGATTACCTCAGGTGACCTCCACAGACAGTATGCATAAGTTTTCCGCCACTCTGATAACCCCAGGCCACGGCATCGGAAAGCAGTTTTGCTCGACTGCGCTACTCCCCTGATATCACTTACTAGGCTCACCAGTGCTTTGGTTCTACCTGAAAAACAGTATAGTAATTGAATTTACGACTCTCAGACGTATACCCTGAACACAGAACATCGAGGATCAAAACTGTGGAGACATCTAAAGAAGAAGGTAACACGAATGGGATGGCATTTTTTTATACTTCGCTTGTTTAGTTTACATGGTAGTCATCAATCATTTGATAGGCCTTTTGTTGTGCGTATGAACACAGAGGTGTGATAAGTGAAAAAAAACATTACAGCCAGATAGAAAATTACCGCATAAAATCGGAATGTGTGCTTGGGTTGGTTTGTGTGCAAATCAATGTGTGTCCAGATGCATTCGATAGAGTCCGTTGAGGAGATCGATTTGTCTACTGGCCAGAGATGGTTCGCTGGTCACATGAACAAACCCCGGTTCAAACAGTGAAGAAGCTTTCTGCACGACTTCTTCGCAGGAACGGCCGACAACAAGGGCGGGCCCAGCAACCTCGAGTGTGATAACCCCACCAGCACCTAGGGGGGAGAATTGATTTTGGAAATGGAAAATGCAGTCAGTTGTGGGTTGGAACTAAGAATGGCTATTTGAAATTTCAATCTATCAATATTCCTTTGGGACCATTTTAGGGAAGCTGAAAATGCTGTAAACGCGTTGTCTGAATGAATCGTTTTCATCGGTTTGACCTATGACTTTGAAAAAAATTCTGAGGTCGTCAAACTCCAGTGGATTTCGACACAGAGAATTCTTTCTGAGCTACATGATTGTGTGGTTGAAAATAAAAATATTGGTGACCGAATGAAAGAATCTACTTACAATTCTCATAGTATTACATAAATGACCACGTAAAATTTTCAGAACTGCATAGTTTGGATGCTATTGACCAACTAAGTTGTTAGCACCATGTGATGTCAATTTTTGTGCGATACCTGTGTATACTTTCTGATCTTATTGACCGATTAAGTGGCTAGCACTATGTGATATCAATTATTGTGCGATACCTGTGTATACTTTCTGATCTGAATGACCGCTTCATACGACGGTTCGTGTACCCACTATTGCCACGGGTCTACTGGACTCATGAGGTGGATGATGAGACAGTTTCCATCTTCATCATCAGAGACTTACTCTTATTTCCTATTAGGGGGACGAATTGGTCTACCACTATTGCTCTAGTCAGTTGCTCTCGGGCAAACCGCCTACACGATCGCTATGGTATAAATTCAAATTTTGAAGGATTATGACCCAAAGTGACGTTCACGACTTTCAGGACTCTTTCAGCTTGACCGATATATTATATAAGCTATCGAGAGCAGGTGTGACGATGCTTCGATGTGCTGGTATCTCTTGCATTTGGTTGATGTACTGGGAAACACCATCAGTCTGTGCACCAGAAGTATCGAAGAAGAGGATGTAGTTTAGAACGCCGCCGCGGAGTGCAACTTTACTTGGAAGAAGCCCTGTCTTCCCGCTTGCAGACTTTGTTTGTGTCAGTATACCACAGACCGACTTATAAACGATTCCTTGCTTAGCCGGGTACATATAAGTTGTCTTGTCCTGATCCTTCGACTACAAAACATCAGTCTGTTGTGGACACTAACATGTGCCCAGTGGTACGACTAGTCACTGTCAACGCCATCATGTCTGATCGCGGTATTCGACTGCTGTCTGTGGAACGGCAGATCAAGAGATATATAGAGTGCGATGATCCCAAAGGTGAGCCATCCCATGTAGGGATTTCTAATGTGATATGGGCGTCTTCATGAATCGGAAATTACTCCTTTAGATTTTTATTCGTATTGGAGAATCTGTGACCTGATACTCGCCTCAGGGCTGGTGATTATCTATGAGATCACCTACGGAGTGTGTAGCAATCAGACGCATTTGTCAATTCGATATTAACCCACTGATTTCTGACGTGAATTAGCAGGCTTTCATGCATCCCGCTGCCCTCGTCCGATTCCATTTGGCCTCCTGTTCGCTTACATTGAGACCTGACTCCACTGACCATGTATGAATTCGTCGCCTGCCACTGCTACCCTCTTTTTGTGCCAGATGGTCCGTCTAGCTAACCCAACTGCTCCAACGACAAGCCGGGGTGAATCTCCGCCAGATGGTCCGTCTAGCTAACCCACCTGCTCCAACGACAAGCCGGGGTGAATCTCACCTGTTCGAAACTCATACTTAAGCCTAACTGGCGCCTATACATTGCGGAATCTGTTGACCCTTTATGTGACCGGTTCCTAGCGGTACCACCAAGGTGTATGTTGCACACATGGACTCCGAGTAATGAAGTGTTGTTGAATCGAACTCTAATTGAAGTGTCATTCGATGTTTAACTTAACTGCTCATCAGGCCAAGCAAAGCCGAGTGTAAATTGCAATTAGTTCTGTTAACTCTCAGTATGCAATGAGATAAGAGAAGCTATCACAGCCTAGGCAGGTTCTTTGGTTGAACAACGGAAAGACACATTCAAACCTACCTTCAGTTCGGATCGGCACCAGCACTAGAAAAGCAGTGCATTTTTTTTACTCCTTTCGACTTTCGGAGCCATTAAATCCCAGTACATGTAAGCTACTTGTATGATAGCTTAGAACCCTTCTTTCGACAATTGGTGGTTCTGATTTATTTCGTCAACCCAGTGGTCTGTTTATCGAACAGCCATTTTCAACCGCGTTACTATTATGGCCAACTGTAGGACAGGATTTGACCGGGCATGCATTGGTTTACTTCCACATATGATCGATCTGGGAACAAGATCGTTCTTCACAATTGTTATGCGGCGTCAACCTATGGCTGAACACTATCTGGAAAGTGTTTATGTGGATTGAAAGGGTATGTCTCTCTCGACCGAAGGGTGGTCCGTTCGGAACGTATTTTTGTACGTGTTTTGAGGCCAAATAAATTTTTCCCAACCTAATTATGGCTTAACAGCTTTTCGCATGGCGTATCTAAATGAAGCGGCCCGGTGCAGCACATTCAGTTGCCTGGAAACATCACAAACGAGAGATTCAGCTGGGATCCAGCTAAGTCTCTCACAAAACCAAATTTGTTTGCAAATGAGTGTATTTCGCTAGTCTCTCAACCTAATTATGGCTTATCAGCGGTGATACAGCTGAAACTGAACAAATTCGGTCAATATGGAACCGCGTTGTGGATATTAGTTCGCCATAATATGAAATTTGTGTAGTGTGACCCTCTCTGTGACTTTCTCTTCCAGCCTGAACACGCCTATCCAGAATCGTATGTTTTTTTAACATAGTTAAGAGTTCATGTAGGTTGATTTCATTGTAGGCATTTCCTATGAGTTCAGGCTTGTCACACTGAAAACCCGGTGAAGCATAGACAGTCGAATATCTTAACTTGTTCCCATTAGAGGAATATTCAAGAAGCACCCGTTTTGGTCTATCTGCCCAAATTGTCGTTTTTGAGAGGTGAATGAAGGACCTTGCCTCGGTTTATGTCTAAGTAAGGATACCCAATGAATCGGCTAAAAATATGTGGGAAACCGGCCGAAAGCCAGTCCAAGCCTAGTTACCATCAAAGAGAGTAAATGTAGAATGAGACTGTGAACGACTGTGAAACTAGAGGTTATATCGTTCTAAGCAAATTTTGGCGAGTTACTTTATGCCCTCTGATTGAATTCGAAAACGAGTGTGGGATGGTCACTTTTTCGAAACTCCTAGTTTCTCACTAAGCTCATGTCACCTGCCGTCGTAGGCGTTAAAAATGGCATAATACAGGCATTATCTCATACAGCCTTTCGCTCACATTCGAATCCAACCAATTTTTGCTTTGCTGTGAGTTTTACAAGGAGCTGAACGTTCTTTTGGTGCATGGGCTTCAAATCTCTTAAGCATTCTTACAGGTACTATTGAGTGTGATGATTTATAATGTAAACGATTTGATCAGTTCTCATCTGTGTCAACATCTCTCCATCATGTAGGCAGTCTTATTTTGGAGAGCATCACTCCGTTTCCTTCATTTCCAAATAATTCTACGCAAAGGTTGCGTTTACTGGTACTCCACATCCCTAAGCCGAAGGTGGCTCTCACATTCATGAACAATTAAACTTAAGGAGGTAGCATCAATGAGAACAATCCAGCTCCGTCATTACCATGAGCGGTCTTCGCTGTTGCCATAGGACCCTCATTGTCCGATATCACCGGCAGTCTTAATTACTGTGAAATTTTCAGTGTGTCCTGGGTAGCTGTACTCCAATGAACAATTTGTGAATTAAAATAGGGAGCTTTTAAATTGAACTGGAATCACTGAATCCGTTATTTTGGGAGGTGTTTCCTCACAGGACACACACACCTATTTGTCCGCTCCTCCCATTTGGTCGTTAACATGCTCTTGGTCATCTGAGGTGTGTAACGGGTTAGTAATTTATCAGGAGCTTTATATCTACCCAAGGGATCACTCGTCCCAACGGGGAAGATAAGCGAGCAGAGTGGATCGAACGGAGTTGATATGATCTATCCGTCTGTCGGCGAGAGAGAAGGATATCGATGTTACAGACTGGATTAAATCTTTCATTAACAAAGTTGAGTGTAAGCAATGAGTGCTTGAACTTATCCATGAATAGTAGGCGGATGGAAGCCCTTTTTGAGTGGAACATTCATCTTGTAGTCATTCTGTTCTGTCCAAGAGAGTGATGAAAGGGCACTGCGTTCTCGGTTACAACCGGAGCGCGTCTTGACCCACATGAATGAGGTGGGTAAAGATCAACATGCACGACCCAAGATACATTAGCTTCACTTCAGGCAAGATCTTTACCAGAACACGCATCGGGCAAAGGTGTTTTGAGATAGTACAAAAAAGCAGACTACGAGGGGAAAATTATTCACTGAACATCGGATGTACTCTCACTGAATGTCTGACTTAAGCTGGGATGTATATGAGCGTTTAATGTTGCAGACATCCACGTGTCACAGAGGTGTATTGTGCACGAACTGGATGACCATACCAAGTAGAAGGCGGTGTTAAGAAGAGCGACAACTCGGTTCGCTGGTTGGCACTAGGAGCAATGAAGCATCGTTCCTAAATCATTCTCTCTCCCAATTAGGACCAAACACATCGATTGTGGGTCGTCTTCGCATGTTTATTTTCAGACTCGACTACATCTACTTCCAAATCAGACATTACCGTTTTAATTTCCGGCTCCCGTTCCAGCTTCATGGTCCGCGTCCACTCACAGTAGATATAAATACCAACTGTTCCAAAGGCTTTGCATCTAGGCACCTGGCTAGATCAATTTGATGATAAACCAATCCACCTGACCCCAAATTGATTTTCCAGGCAAACGTGGTGAGACGAGCTGCAACGCGTCCCCCTCAGTTTGAAATTGTCCGTACCATACCTTTTGCCTTGACCTAGGACAGTGCAAATGCTGCCCGGTGCGTGATGGTGTTCATCCCAATAAACTTTTTCAGGTTGCAGATCCGGCTGGTTATCGGAAGCCACATTAATTTCTGCAGACACTTGACCAAAGAAGTTAGTTGGTTTGGCACCACAG